AAAAACATTGCAACTCCAAAACATTTATTGCTTTATTTAATTTATTAAAAAAAATTTTTTAAATTAAAAAATCAATTTAAATTTTTTTAATTTTTAAAAAATTGATTTCCTTTCCAAATTTAACTATTTTGTATTTTATTTATTGTATTTTGTTAAAATTTAATCTCGAGTTTTCTCTCTTTCTCTATCACCTCTCTCTCAATAAAATTATTTAGAATCAATCTCTAGGCAGGAGAGAAGTTAAACAATGGCATTTCAAAATAGTAAATTTAAATGGAAGGTTAGCAGGAAAAAATTTTGGGGAAGAGGGGAGGGAGGGGAGAGGGGAGGGGGATGGGAGGGAGGGAAGCTGGAGGGAGGGAAGAGGGGAGGGGGGGAAGGGAGGCATTATTTTATATATACCTCCATTTTTATTGTCAATGCCATTCTTCTCTTTAAATTTTTAATTTAATTTTTTAATTTAATTCTATTTTTCCTCCCTTTCTCCTTCAATTAAAAAATCTTAATTTTAAAATAAAATAAAATAAAAAATAAAATAAAAAATAAAATTATTAATATATCCCTGCATAGCCCAATAGAAAAAAATTCTTAAATTAAAATTTCAGCAAAGCATGCGAAAGTTTTTTTATTTTCTGAGGCCCAGCAAAGCCAAAAAAGACCAAAAGACTTCATCCTTTTTTACTCTACTTCTAATAAAAAAATTCTGAAATTAAAGAGAATAATGTGGAAAAATAAAAAAAAATAAATTTAAAATAAGAAAGGCGGGAACATTAATTTTTAGAAAATTAAACAAATTTAAAATTAATTTTTAATCTCTAATAATTTTAAATATAAATATTTTTACATAAAGTATTCCGCAATTTTTACTTACAAAATTTTATTTTTAATATTTTAATTTTATTTTAAATTAGCAGAAACTTTAAAAAAATTCTAAAATTAAAGAGGGGGGGGGGAGGGTACAACGTAGGGTGGGGGGCCCATAAACATTACAACATTTAATGGCTTATAATGTTATACATTTCCCAATTATCCTTTCTAACTCAAAATTTTATTAAAAAAAGTTTTTTTTCGAAAATTATTTTTTAAGATAAAATCCAGATAATTTAAAAGGATTATGAATTTGCTTCGAAAAACTTCCTCCCATCTTTTAATTGTTATATTTATTATTCAATTAATTTATGTTATTGGAAGTAAACGAACAAATTTAAAAGATAAAATATTAGAAATAAATAATTTTGATAAAAAAATAGGAAATTTTAAAGAAGTTTTGACTAATTTAAACTTAGAATCCGGTGCTTATGTAAACTTCGAAATATTGCAAAACAAAGAATCGGTTTTAATTCTTAATATAAAAATTTATAAAATTTAAACTTAGATTTTATAGCCTAAAAGTTGAAAATTCTTTGATTTGAAGGATTTCTTCATTTCATATTTTACTCGCTATTCAAATAAAAATTTTCATCGTTTGGTCCATATTAGGGAATTATTGGGGTTAGATTAGATAAATTTTTGTTCATAGAGTAACCACAAATTTAGGCGGGTCTAGGTAATTTATTGGATTTAGCCTACAATTTTATTGAAAGCATTTCTTAATTAAAAATTAAAATTTTCAGAATAAAGAGAATTTGGAAGTTTTAAAAACAGTTTTTTATTCATATGAGGCTTGCCTTCATATACTTCATATACTAGATAAAACCGTTACTGCGGAAAGCAAAGATGCTTGTGAAGATAAAGATATTATTACTCGAGTGGATGGAATCTTAAAGGCATTAGGATTTGAATATGTAGAAGGAGAGGAAAAAAAGAAAAAGGTTTTACAAAAATTTTAAATATTTTTTATTTTACTTTTTTAAAGTCATGGTGGAAGAAAATTAGTGGTGGGCTTTTTAAGTCAAAATCAAAAAATGGCTATCATCAATTGTAAAATGGAAAATTACGTGCTTTAAAGAGATTTGAGAAAATTTAAAGATACAAAGAATGATTGATTCTGTTGATATATATTCAATTGAAGTTTTATACCTCCTCTCACCTCCCCCCAAATTAACCATTCTCCAACTTTTTCTCCCCAATTTTTTAAATTTAGTAAAATTGTCAAAACTTGTAAATTTAACTAACTCTTCTCCCATCCGTTCATTAACTAAAATTTTTTATTTAAATATTTTAAATTAACCAAAATTATTTCACTATTATTTTAAATTGTATAAAATTCATTGGAATTACACATATTTTTATTATAAATATCACCCAATTTGATAAGAAATATTTAAGTTATTGGCCTTTTATGAGATAGAGGACTAAATTTTAATCAAAATCTTAATTTTAGTTAAATCCCTGGAAATATCACGCTTATTTTAAATTCCAAAATTAAAGTAAATATATTGGAATCTCTCTATAAAACAAAGAAATTTTATTGCCTCAATTTTTAAACCTGGAAAAATCTTAAAAAATTCGTAGACTCGAGGAACAGACAAGTCAAGGAAAGGCTAACATATGGAACGACCAAATCATGCAATATTAAAAAAAACAGAATATTCTTAAAAAATAAGAATTAAAAGAATAGAATACTTTTAATTTTTATTTATTTATATTTTTATTTAAAAAATTCTGATTTTTAAAATATTCCATAGTTGACCGTTTCTTGACTTGTCTTTTCTTTAAATTAGCTCGACACGCATATTATAGAGAGATTTAATTTAACTAAAGAAAAATAAATTTTTATATAAAAAACAAAATTTTTCTTTCAACCAAATTACACAAAAAAACATAAAAATGTATACATAATATAAAAGAAATAAATTTAGGGGAATGACAGTCAGAGGAAAAAAAAAGAAAAATTAAATATTTTTTAAATTTTATATAAAAACCGAAATTTTTAAAAATTAATTTAAATATTTAAAAGGCAATGAGCATCAATTGGTCTCTCTCTACAAGGGAAGAAATAACAAAAAATTAAAAAAAATATATGTAATATCATTCAGACTGGGTATTTGTGCACGACAGCAAATCTGTCAAGACACTGAAAAAAAATTAAATTTAAAAAATTTTTTGAAAACAAGTTTTTTAAATTTCCAAATTCCAAAAAAGGAGATAATTTCTTGCTTAATAGTCGGGTTCGATATTACAGGGCGAGGGCTGGGCTTTCAGGAAACAAGGGTTGCGGGAAATTTGGGTTCGGGGGGTCCCCCGATAGCTTCTCTCGGGGGAATTTTTATAAAATTAAAAGTACCCAAAATTTTAACAAAATTTGCTAAACGGCAGATAAAACGATAGGTTATTCCCGGGGACGGGGACAAATCCTACTTAATATCAGTTTTGGAAAAAATTCTAAAAAATAATAAAAAGGAAATCAAAAAAATTCTAATTTTACTAAAAAATAAAATTAAAAAATGAAAGGTCCTCCTCAAAAAGAAGAGGACCTTTTATTTATGAATCCCCCGTCCTCTCCCAAAAAAACTTAAAAATAATTTTTTAATTCAAAACCTGCCGAATTCCAGGCAAATTTAATATTGTCCCAATTATAGGCATTTGACGAAGAAAATTAACTGCTGACGGTAGAAAACCGCTAAAAAATAAATTTTAAAAATAAAAAAAATCCAAAAAAACCCAAAAAGAAGCACAAATCCCCATATTTCAACAATAATTCCAATTAACGCCCATCCAAGTAAAACTAAAAATATTCCTCCAAAAAAGAGTGCAGAGCCACGAATTTTGTGCCATTGAAAAAAGAAAATAAATGTTCTTTGTATTCCAATAACTAGTGTTAATCCAGCAATAAATAATAACTTTAAAAATGATTTTTTTGAAAAAAGAAAAATAATTTTTTTTAATTCAAAAGTTCTTTTATAAAATTAATACAGCGATTGCGGACTTAATTTTCTTTTTCCTTCATGTCAACAAAATATTAATTTATTTTATTAAAATAATTTAGTAGTAAATAAAAAATAGGCAATTGTGGGAATCACATTTTTTGCGAGATTTACATAGATCAATTACTCCCAAGTTGACACGACAAATGTTTTGAACAATAAAACTTGTTAAAAAGCCCACCCCAAACTTGAAAACCAAAAATATAGTTTACAATTGTATATAGAATTTTAGGTTTACTAAACTCAAAAAGGGCATAAAAGTAAAGTTTTATGGGTGAACTACCTATTTGTGAATATTAAAAATACCTCACTCCCCTCCCTCACAAATTTAATAAAATAAAAAAATATATACATTTCCAATAGCCAAAAGCGCCTTGTCAAGAAATAAAACGATTCCTAAACCAATAAAAGTAACGCCAAATAAAGCTAGACCAACACCAATTTCTGTATAAAATTAAAAAAAAATTTTAAAAATTAATAAAAAAATAAACGTTTTGAATTGCTGAGTTCAAAATTCATTTTCGTCTTTAATTAAATATGTGAAATAAAGTCAAAATATAAATTGGAAAATTTTAATTTTAAAGAAAAAAATTTTTTTTGATAAAAATTATCTAAAATTAAAAATAAAATTAATAATTAATAAATTGACTAGCTGGAACTTATTTTGTAATTAAGCTACTTCACTGATAATTTCACTTCGGTCAGAAGAGAAAAAAGCTTTTATTTGGTCAAAAACTGAGTATGTTTATAGTTAAATTTTGTTAATATCAAAGGGCAGAGAATATTTTTCTGTAGAATTATTCCATAATTAACTTTTGTAGGAGAATATTTTATCAAGTTTAGTTAACAAAAACCTCAAAAATTAAAACTTTATTATTTTGTAATTTGACGTTATTTTGGTGTTTTGAAAATTTTCCATTTAGACATTTTACATAAATGAGAGAAAATGGAAAAAGAAAAAGAGTAAATTTTGTAAAATTGAAGGGAAATTTACTTGGAAGTCATTCACATATTTTTTTTTATTTTGTTGCAAATTTTGTTTGATTCTAATCATTTCTTTAATAAAATTTTATTTTATTTTTAGATTTAAAAAATTAAAAAATAAACGCAGTTGCGAGGACTTTATAAAGGAGCATCTTGCGAGGATTAAAAATGACGTTAATTTTTGTTTAATTTAAAATTTATTTCTTCAACTTTTTAGTGAATCTTTAGAAACAAACGAAGTTCTTAAGCGTGTTTTGAAGTCTGCTTTGATTGCGGATGGAGTTGCTCGAGGTATTAATGAAGCTGCCCGTACATTGGACAAGTTTGTGTTTTTAATTTGTTTTTTAAGACGGTTTGGTATTTTTCGAATCTCGGGCCAGAATTTGACCTTTTGTTCATTTCCTAGTGGAAAAATGTTTCCATTGAGATGTCATACACGAGACAACGGGTCGTGGAATTTTCTAGTACGGAGAGAATTAGACGGGTGATTTGACAATAGGAGTAAACATCCTTCATGCCCCACTTATCGTTAGTGTATAAACTAGGCGGGAACACATCCCTTATTTTCCATTAGTTTTTTTGGGAGTGTTTTTAATTTATATTTTTTAGGCGTGAGGCTTTTTTCTGTATTTATGCAAAAGGATGTGATGAGCCAAGCTATGAAAAGCTAGTTCGTTCTCTTTGTAATCAACACGGAATTCCGATTATTGAAGTTGAAGATAAATCAGAATTAGGTCAAATGGTTGGGCAATGTAAAGTAGACAAGGAAGGGAAGGCTAGGAAAATTGTTGGTTGTTCTGTGGCCGTTGTTAAAAATTATGGGCGTGATGATGAGGCTAAAAGTGAAATGGAGGAAATTTTGAAGAAAGTTAAAGTTGGGGGAAATGATGAATAAATTAAATTGAAAGGAGAACAATTTAAAGGTTTTTTTGTTGTTGTTATTTTAATAATTGTTAAAGTAAAAAGAATTGTTTGAATTTTTTTTTAAAGAAGTCCTTTCTGATTTTTATTAGGGAGGGGGTGATTTGGCTACCTATATGGTATTTTTATTAATTGTAAGGTTTAGTTTTTAATATTAGCGAATCTAAAAAAATATAAAAACCCAAAAAATTCCATCAATTATCAGTATATTGTTATCCAAATAAAATAGTTTTTCAAATTAACACTGAAAATTAACAAGATGTCCAAGACCAAAAAATTTACAGGACATAAGACAAAAATTAGCCAAAATGATTTAATATTTGTTTATCCAACTTGTATTACTAACACAAGTAAAAATTACCAAATCAATCTGTAAATATCAAGCGAGTTAGTCTGAATTACAGCTCTCCCACTCCACGCCAACAGAACTAAAAAAGTTTCTTGAATTAAGGTTATCTAATATTGAGGGTGTTTTAAAATGAGTTTTTTTATTTTAAAAAAATATTGAGAAATTTTGTATTGATTTTGAGTGCATTTCCGCTAAAAACATCAAAAGGAATATTTATAGACAGACTTATTTAATGTTTCACGTGAATTAAAATTGAAAAGGGCATTTATTTGAGGATAAAGATAAAAGGAAAAATATATATTAAAATACACATAGGTACCTATTTAAAGATTAATTAAGAAGCATTATTTACTCATTTTTATTTTTCCTTGATTTAAAAAAAATAATTTTCAAAATTTAATATTTTAACGACCATTTTCAATTAAATATAAAGTCAAATCCTTATGTTTACTGGATACTAGGAGTGGTGATTCATAGGAAATCCCCAGATACTCAGAGCCGACCCGTAAATTTGTGGATATCCTGACTTTTTAAGTTCTGGATATCCGGACCGCCAACCTTACTGGCTACACTTAAGTTTAAATTATTTGTTTAAAATCTGTTTTTAATACCCCCTCCATTTAATAAGGATCCCAAGGGTGTATTTTATAGTGAAGTTTGAATTTATTTTTGAATTTTTAGAAAATTAAAAGAAAAAATGAAGAACAAACAAATTAATTTCTTCTTTTTTATTTTAATTATTTTAATAATTAATTGTTTTTATTCAACAGCTAATTTATTAACAAATAGAAAAGTAACGGGAAAACAAATTGGTTCAAATTTAAATCCGGAAGGTCAAAAAATTAAAAAAATATTATTTTTATTGGATTAAATAGCTGAGAAAAATCTTTGAATGAGATTTAAGTGAAAGGGGGTATGCTGGGGATACACAAAATTTCGACAGGAAAGATAACGGGAAAAGAGAATGTTTTTCTACTTTATTTGAATGTTATTTTCTGTCTCAAGATGCTTTTATGCTCCACCGTTCAAAGTTCAACCAATTTTTTCAAATTTTAAATAAAAGTTTATAGGCCTCTTATTCTGATTTTGAGATCCGATTTTATATACAATTGTTTTTTTTATTCAGCTGCCCCTTACAATCCTTTACCTCCAGCTCAACGTAAAAAATTATTTGAAAAAATCAAACTGTTAAATGCTAAAAAATTAAATCCGAAAGGTAATTTCTTTTTAATTTTAAATTAATTATCTGTGTATTTAGCTACTCCTTATGAACCGCTTAGTCCTCATGGACGTCAAAAAGTTTTTGATTCTATTTTGAAACACCAGCAAAATTCAATTAATGGGCACCCAACAATTTACGAGAATTATTCACAACAACAACAAGAACATTACAATAAACTGTCTCCACTTTCTGAAAATGTTTGTAAATAATTATACATAGCTACTAGTATTTCAAAATTAAACAGACTTCACTAACACAAGAATTACCTATATAATCCTGAGTTTAAGATATTTTTTTAAATTGGGACTGGGGGATGACTGGCGCTCCCATATTTAAAATTTTTTTTGTCTCCACTGTTTGGAGACAAAAAAAATTTTTTGGCTGTCAAAAGAGACAGCCAAGGTTTGGCTGTCTTTCGCCCCGGTTTTATTTTCTGTTCCGCTTTCTTCGAATAAATACGGCAGAGAATCTGATACCCATTATCATATATGATTTTTTAAACTCCCAAAAGGATATCTTTAGTAAAGGAAATATAAAATAATTCATTTTAATAGTTAATTCATCGTTTTAACGAAGCAGCAGCATCATCAAGTCACCAAACTAATAAATTAAAAAGTAAAATTAAATAGGTAAATAAATTCAAATAAGTATGTATTTGAAATAATTTTTTAGTTTAAACACAAAAAGTGGAAAAGAGCCTAACAGTTGGAAATTTAAAATGAAGACGGAAATATTTATTTGTTCTCCTTATCCCCATGTTAAATTATAATGACAAAAATTGTTGGAAATATTTTTTAAATATTTAAGAATAAAATTAAAAATTAAATCCTCAACAAACGAATAATACATTCAGTCCTCACTATAAGATATACAATCCTCGATTTAAGGTTTTATGGTGGAGAGGGAGACTTAAGATTAGTGATCGGAATTTCGTACCGTATCTACCCTACTATCGATACAGAATAAAAATATCGAAAAATACGGCAGTAGTACGGATGGTCCGATCACTACTTAAGATAGGTACGATATAAGATATAATCTTTTCAGTCCCAAGGGAGTATCTTATAGTGAGCTAAATTGAAATTAAATCCTCACCAAACTAATGTTAATTAATTATTTATTTAGATATTTAGTTAAATAAATTTAATTTGTATTAATTGTTATCGAAATCATTAAATAAAATTCTTTTAAATTCTTTTTCAAAATATCCCTATCAATATATAATCCCTTTAAATCTCCATAGATCCTCCTTTCTATTTTGTATTAGTTTCAGTATCTTTAATTTTGTTAACTGGATTAAAATCAATCGGAATTGAACGTTTTCCCTCAACAGTTTGTTTGGCAGTTATTTGTTTGGCAGTTATATTTTCCCTCAACAGTTTGTTTGGCAGTTATTATATATTGAACGTCCATTAATGTCAAATTCACATCTTAATTAATTAATTTATATTTAAAAATATTTTAAATTTTTTTTACTTAAAAGTTTCCTTTTTAATTCCCTCAGGAATATAGACACGACGAGTAAATTGACGATGGACTGTTTCTCCTTCATTTTGTTTATTAAAATGTTCTCCGCTAACTACAACTTCATTTCCCTCAATTTCGACATTTAATTCTTCTGGACGAAAGCCAGATACATCCACCTTGTAGGTGAAATCCCCATTAGGTTCAATTTTCATTTGGGCGGCGTGGTCACGCATCTGGAAATTCTAAAGAAGCTTAAAACATTTTTTAAAAAGAAATTGAATCGAGAGTAGATAAGAACTTCTTAGGTTACTCCTTTGGCACAGAAAGGTATAGTAAAGCAGCTGGGCTATAGCTATTTTTCTCTTTTAGCTAGCCAAAATGTTAATCGGTGGATGGGAGCGAACCGATATCTTCAGTAGACCGAAATGATGTAGTACTATTCACTATAGCCTTAAGAATTAAATAGCTACTATATGCTTTACAGTATCTAGTATTTGGGGTATATCTTATCTTGTGAGGTCCATCTTATTCAAAATCTATACTTGGAACCCCATATATTCATCAAAATAATAATCCATTGGTTGCATCCAATTATCCATTCGATTGAATCGGTCCATCCAACGGTTTCCACAAAATTGAGTCATCGAGCGATTAAATGGAGTATAAGCGGTGAAAAAGGCTGGAGAGAACATTTTTTGGGAATTTTGTGGAAATTTGTATGTGATTGAATGAATATGTTTGTTTGGGGGTAATTATTAGGCTATTTATATATTTATTAATTTAAACAAAGTTCATTGTAAATTGCTTGTTTTGGTGTTTAAAAAATGCAAAACAAAGCAAAAAAATTATTTAGAGAAGAAAAATTATTTAAAATGTCAGCAAAAAGTGTTTTGAAAAAAAAATAATTTTAAAAACAAAAAATAAACATTCGATGATAATAAAACTAGATAATTAATTTTTAAAAAATTTATTTTGTCAAAAGAATTCAATTAAATTTAATTAAAATGGATAACTAAGCCTTTAAAAATATTATATGAATAAAATAATAATAATATTTTCTTTTTTAAATAATGACTAGAAACTTTGTTCGAAATCCAATTAAAATAATTAATTTAAACTAAAAATGTAGGTTACTTTATATGTTCGAATAATTACCTTCTCTCAAATGATTACCCCCTCTTTTTCCTACACAAAGTTTAAAAATATTGAGAAAATCATTGTCAATGTTAGAAGCATTTTAGGACATAATATCAAATAATAAATCGATTTCCTCCTCGATCTATTGAGATATACCTCAAATTTAGCACCACCTTTCGATCAATTACCCCCTCCAACGAAAGGGCGAAACAATAATTACCCAGGGTAATTATTTGAGCATTTACGGTATTACATCATATTTGGATCCAGAGTGGATATATCATAGTGAAAATTATACACACGAATCTTCAAGAGCTGTCAGGATTCGGTCAATCCTCTTATACGTTAAATTAATAGTCTTGCTCCTTCTCTTCATCAGACACCTCATCTGCCCAACTCTTTTTTTCTTTCTAAATTAAAAAATCTTAATTACAATTAGTACATCCATCAAGAAACCCGATAATAATTTAAGTAAAGAAAATACCTCATCCTTTTTCTCAAAAATTATATCTTCAGGTTTATTGGTTTCTTCGTTAGTTTTAGTATTATTTTTTTCTTCCTCATCTCCTCCTTCCTTATTCCCAACAGATTTATCAATTTCCTTAAATTTTAATTTTTTTTTAAATTTTTTAAGTTATTTTTTATATATTTACAGATGGATGTTTTCCAAGAATTCCAGGTTGATTGTTAGTTAAATCAAGTACGTAGTGGGACTTAAAATAATTAAATATTTAAAGTTATTTTTAATTAGTATATTTTGAAAAGATTAAACTAAATTTTAATGAACAGGCTTTATTGGGCCTAAAGGAGGACGAATTGTAAGAATGTATCAACAATTGAGGTGGTATTAGGTTTTGGTGGGTCTGGAGCTGATATTTAAGCAAAAACATTTGTTTATCAAAATTCTTTTGATAAACAAAAATATTTTTAAAAAAGTGAAGGAGAAATGAAGAGGAGAAATCACAAAAAAGTTCAATCACAAACAAAAATCTTTGTTATTGAAATAGAGGCTCCCGTACTATCATTAATGCCCCCTATTTAATATCCTCCCTTTGGATATACTTAATTAAAAATAAAATTAAATATTATATTTATGTACATGATATGGAATTTTTTCAACTTTAGCACCTTCTTCTTTGATTTGATTTTTTGGAACATATTTTTGAATTAATTTTTTACCTTCATTTTTTTGTATTTTATTCTAAATATTTAAAAATTATTAATTCTTAATTTAATTAATAAATAAACTTAATCTCTACTTATGATCTATTAAAATAATATAAGGCCGGGATCAATCTAAATGGTCATTCTCAGAAGCTATTAGCCGCTATTATCTAAGCTCAAAACGTATCTTAAATAGAGGGTTTATCCAATATTGTTTATCCCATATAAACTAATTAGTATTACTTTCAAAACTTTTTTCGGTTTTTTAGCTTTTTTCCTATTTACTTCATGCCATACTTCATTATTATCTTCAATTTTATTTTCTTCTTTATTGTCAATATTTGTTTTCTTCATTTTCTGAATTTATATTTAGTAATAATTTATTTAATTAAAAAATTAATTTAAAAAGTCTTTAGTTCACAAAGTTGTCCCTAACGTTTTTTGAGTAACTAAAGATAAGTCGCAAGATTTTAAACTTATTTTGCGAACTAAAAATAAGTTTAAGCTAAAAAAATAATTCCAAATTCAATGGTCTAGAACACAGAAAATTTTACTGAACAAAAAAAAATTTTACATACATTCTCAATATTTTCATTAAAATCATTCCAAATTTCCTCTTCAACATTTTTAATTATTTCATCAGTTATTCCTTCAACTTTTTCTTCATTTATTTGTTTTGAATTTTCTTGATTTTTACTATCTTTTTTCCTTCCCTTTCCCCTTTTTTTACCTTTATTTTTTATTTTTTTCTTTTCCAAAGTTAGTATGTTAGTATTTGGGGGTTGTGTATATGGATATGGATTCGGGATGTGAATGGATGTGTGTGTGGATATTAATTAGTGGATGTGCGAGTGTGGGCTTCCAGAGGTCCTACCCGAACTAAGCCAATTCACCAAATAGTTCAAATAGTTTACATATTTATTAATATTGCTTAATGAACGTTAATAAATGGATTGAAATGGATTGAGGAAGTGAAACTGATAATTGTAAGTTATAGGATTGAATAGAATTGATAGGATTTGCGCGAGGACGAAGTAAACACTTGGAATATGAATAAAGTGATGGAACTGAATATTGGCCAATGAATAGAGTAAATTGTATTGGTTTGGACTGAAGTGAGATAAACTGAGATTGGACTGGACTGAGAATGTGATGAACTGAGGTTGGACTGGATTGAGGATAAGCTGGTTATTGGAGGGAAATGAAAACCTTATAAGTTGGGAAAAGGGGAGTGGAAATGGGATAGGCAATAGTCAACAAGTTGGATTAGTGAAGATTGTAAATATGATAAGTTGGGAAAGTGATCGGGAGTAAGTGGAATAGGAATTCATGTGAAGGGATAATGGGAAGTAATTGGAAAATAAGTGGAAATAAAGGGAGTTCACGTGAACGAATAATGGAAAGGCTGGGAAGGAATAGTTGTAATTGTAAATAATAATATAGCTGTATTGAGCGGAAGTGTGGAAGCAAAGTTCAAAGAGAGAAAGTTATTAATTTATAAATGGGAAGATGGGAATGGGAATTAGAGTCTGGGATTGAGTCTGGTGTTTGTTTTTGGTCCGGTTCCGGGATACGGGGTTACACCTCCCTTGCCCACCTGGTCGCGTCCCTGCGACCAAATTTTGATTGTGGGAATGCTTTCTTTTGATTGTGTTCCCGATCATTGAGTTGTGATATCGCAAGGTGGCCACATTTGTGTCACACCTGGAGTTATTAAATATTTTGGAGATGGGAAAGGATTCCTAAGGGGAGAGGGATTCCTGGAGTGGGCTCTTAATTTTGAAGGGTTTTGGATTGAATGGCATGGAATATTTCAGTGTAGGTAGAGATATAAAAGGAGAAATGTGATATGTAAAAGAGA